TGCTCTGTCACCAGGCTGGAGTGCAATGGCACAGTCTCGGCTCACTGTAACCTCCGCTTTTCAGGTTCAAGTGATACTTCCGCCTCAGCCTCCTGAGTAGCTGGGACTACAGGTGCGTGCCACCATGCCCAGCTAATTTTTGTATTTTTAGTAGAGATGGGGTTTCACCACGTTGGCCAGGCTGGTCTTGAACTTCTGATATCAAGCAACCCATCTGCCTTGGCCTCCCAAAGTGCTGGGATTCCAGGCTGGGTCACCACTCCTGGCCCATTGTTTCTGATTTCACATCATCACTCCAACTTCCCATAATACCCTAAAGATGAGTCCATCTTGGGAAAAAATAAGACTATGATTTAAAGTCAGTGGTTCCCTAAAGTAAGATTCCCCCCACCTTTTCCCCCTCTTTTTTTTTTGAGAGAGGGTCTCACCCTGTCAGCCAGGCGGGAGTGCAGTGGTTTGATCGTGGCTCACTGCAGCCTCAACCTCCTGGGCTTAAGCAATCTTCCCACCCCAGCATCCGAGTAGCTAGGGCTATAGACACATGCCACCATACCTGGCTAATGTTTGTGTTTTTTGCAGAGATGGGATTTCACCATGTTGCCTAGGCTGGCCTCAAATTCTGGAGTTCAAATGAGCAGCCCACCTTGGCCTCCATAAATTCTGGGATTACAAGTGTGCACCACCACACCCGACCAAGATTTCTTTTTTAATATGTACTTCCTCCTCCATGCTTTGAAATTCTTTCCTACCAAATTGTATTTACACATAATAATTTTTGTCTTCCATGTTTTATTAATCAAAGACAGTTGTTTATCAGAGATCTTGGTCAGCGTAAGCCAACATGAATTCAGTATAGCAACACTATTATCTGATTCCAGGTTACGGGGGAGAAAAGAAGCTAGGATATTTCACTTATTAATTATTCATTTCAGATATACAGCCTTACTAATATCATGTACATATAAATCCAGAAAATGTGCAAAATCTAGAAGCCATGCAGAAAAAGATTGATAATTTGAACTACATAAAAGTAAAAATTAGCTGGGTGCAGTGGCTAATGCCTGCAACCTCAGCACTTTGGGAGGCCAAGACAGGCAGATCATAAGGTCAGGAGTTCAAGACCAGCCTGGCCAACATGGTGAAACCCTGTCTCTACTAAAAATACAAAAATTAGCTGGGCGTGGTAGCACACATCTGTAATCCCAGCTACTCAGGAGGCTGAGGCAGGAGAATCGCTTGAACTCGGGAGGCAGAGGTTGCAATGATCCGAGATCACGCCATTGCACTCCAGCCTGGGCAAAAAAGCAAGACTCCATCTCAAAAAATAAAATAAAATAATAAAAATTATTATATTAGAATGCCAGCTAAATTTTTTAAAATTATTTATGATATTTTTAAATTCCTTCAGTAAAGTCAAAAGACAAACTATCAGCCGAAGAGGAAAATTGTAATTTATGTGATAGAGGATTAATTTTCTGCACAAAATCTTACAAATCAATGTGAAAATGACAAATTAACATTCTACAAAATCAAAGCACATAGTTTCAGAAAAAGCAGTACCAATCACCAATAACAATATAAGATGTTTAACTTTACATAAGGAAATGAAAATAAAATAGGGCTAGGTACGGTGGCACATGCCTATAATCACAGCACTTTGGGAGGCTGAGGCAGGTGGATCACTTGATCTCAGGAGTTTGAGGCCAGCCTGGGAAACACAGTGAAACCCCATAACTACAAAAAATACAGAAACTAGCCAGATGTGGTGCCTGTAGTCCCAGCTACTTCGTGGGGCTGAGGTGGGAAGATTGCTTGAGCCTGGGAGGTTGAGGCTGCAGTGAGCCAAGATCATGCCACTGCACTTCATTCCAGCCTGGGTGACAGAGTGAGATCCTGTCTCAGAAATAAAATAATGTTTACCTATCAAATTGGAAAAGATGTACACTTTTGATAATGTTCAGTGTTGTAGTCTATATATGGGGAAGCAGACACCTTAAATAATTTATTCAACACATAAGTCCGCACATAGACCCAAAGGTATGTGATGTTGATGGCAATATCTATTATAACAGCCAAAAACTAGAAGCAAACATTTAAGTTCTGATCAAAATCAAGTAACAGGGACCACACTGAACTTCCCTCCTTCAAAAAACAGAGGAAAAAAAGAAGACAAAATATACGAAACAACCATGGCATTCAAGGCATTGACATCAAGCATGGAAAAGCAATGATCCTTGAAGATAGGAAACAAATGAAATGGGTCCTATGCTTGTTCCAGCTTACTGTTAAGAAAGTTTTTAGGCCATTGTACAGGGAGGGGGAACCTAGGCAGATCCTCATGGTCTCCCTGAATGGAGGAAATACAACAAAGAGTCCAGGGAAGCCAAAACAGCTAGACTAGAGTAGAGAGATGAACAAACAGAGAAATCTGGAAATGTGAGGAGGTCTCCTGAATACTGATGAACACATGTATGTGAAGAAAATACCCAAGGCCAGGGAAAGAGCTATCTAATGGATTAGAAAAAACAGTGCCTGGAACTCACACAGGGATGAGAACAGTACCTGTTCTCAATAGCCAGAAAGAAAATAAATCCATAATTCAGAGATATTGATGAAAGTCTTGCTTCAGTAGTAGAAAAAAAATTAATCATAGATTAAACACTGCTCTGGTCATCCTGAACACAACTTTAAAATAAGACCCAAAAGCATCAAAATGTAGTTTCCAATTAAATAACTACATCCCAGAACAAAACTCAAGAATGTTTATAAAAAAGTCAAAAATAAACAGCACCCAGAATGTCTAGATTCCAATTAAAATTACCAGGCAAACAAGTAGCAGGAAAATACAACCCGTAATAAGGGAAGGAAAATCACCTCATCAAAATTGACCTAGAAATGACACAGATATAAAAATTAATAGGAAAAGGCATTATAACAATTATTGTGATTGCATTCCATATGTTCAGAAAACTAGAATAAGGATTACCCATGTTAATTAGACACATGGAAGATAGACTTGTGGGTGTGTATGTGTATACATATGTAAAGACCCAGTGAGATGAAATCTAGAGTGGCTGAAATTTTTAAAAAGATAAAACACAACACTGGATGAGATTAATGACAGCTTAGACACTGCAGAAGAAGAGACTAGTGAACTAGACAACATAGCAGTGAAAACTACCCAAAATGAAACAAAAAACAAATCTTTAAAAAATGAACAGGGCACCAGTGAACTGTGGGACAGTTTCAGAAAGTCAAATATATGTTTTTAGTGAAGTCTCCGAAAGAAGAAAGCTATAATGAGATCAAAAAATATTTAAGGAAATAATGGCTGGCCAGGCATGGTGGCTGACACCCATAATCCAACACTTTGGGAAGCCAACACGCCTGAGGTCAGGAGTTCCAGACCAGCCTGGCCAAGACAGTAAAACCCCACCTCTACTAAAAATATAGAAATTATCTGGGCATGGTGGCATGCATCTGTTGTCCCACCTACTTGGGAGGCTGTGGCAGGAGAATAGCTTGAACCCAGGAGGTGGAGGTTGTAGTGAGCCAAGATTGTGAGTGACACTGCACTCCAGCCTAGGTGACAGAGTGAGACTCCATCTCAAATAAAAGTAAATAAACAATGGCTGAAAAGTTTCCAAATTTCATGAAAACTGTGAACCCACAGTTTTCAGATATAACAAACCCTCAAAAAAAGATATATGGAGAAAAAAAATACTACACCAAGGGATCTTATGATCAAATTGTTTAAAATGAGAGATAAGGAGAAAACAGCAACCAAACGGGGAAAAGATACCTCACGTATAAAATAACAAATATGAAGTTGACAGCAGATTTCTCAAAAAAAAATTAAAAAGTAAGGTAGAAAACAGTGAAATGAAATTTTTAAGGTACCGAAAGGAAGAAAAAACTTTCAGACTAGAATTTCATACCCAGCAAAAATATCTTTTCTTTAAAAAAGGTGAGATATAAAGACCTTTCAGACATACAAACAATAGAAGAATTTATCACCAGCAAACCTGCATTACAAGAAATGTTAAAGGGAAATGCTTCAAGAAGAAAAAAAAATGATACAGTATTAAATTCATTCTCATGCTGCTGTAAAGAAATACCTGAGACTGGGTAATTTATAAAGCAAAAAGGTTTAATTGGCTCACGGTTCATCAGGCTGTACAGGAAACATGATACTGGCATCTGCTCAGCTTCTGTGAAGGCCTCAGGAAATTGTCAATCACGGCAGAAGGCAAAGTGGAAGCAGGGACGTCTTACGTGGCCAGAGCAGGAAAAAGAGAGAGAGGCTACATACTTTTCAACCACCAGATCTCGCAAGAACTCTATCATGAGAACAGCACAAGGGGAATGGTGCTAAACTGTTAGAAACTGCCCCCATGATCCAATCACCTCCCACTAAGCTCCACCTCCAGTATTGGTGATTACATTTCAATATGAGATTTGGGCAAGGATGCAGATCCAAACCATATCAGATACCAAGTCAAAACCTGGATCTACACAAAGAAATAATATCATAAATGGTAACTGCATAGGTATACACAGGATTTTTTTTCTTAATATTTTAACCTCCTTAATCATTGAGTTTTTCAAGCATAAATAATATCAATGTTTATATCATATGTAAAAGTAAAATGTATGACACTAGCAGTAAGGCTAGCAGGGAGAAATAGAATTATACTGTTTTAAGGCTCTTACACTATACAAGCTCAGACAACTGGTTTCATGGTAAATTCTACCCAGTATTTAAGGAAAAAGTAATACCAAGTCTACAAAAACTCTGTCAGAAAACTGAAGAGGAGAAAATATTACCCAAAACATTCTACAAGGATAGCATTACCCTGATGCCAAAACCAGGCAAAGTTATTACAGGAAAAGAAAATCACAAATTATCCCTCATAAACATAGATACAAAAATTCTAAATAAATTTTTAGCAAATGGACTCCAAATATATACAAAAAAAGATAACACATTATGACCAAGGCGGTGGGGGCGGAGGGTGTTATTCCAGAAATGCAAGGTTGGTTTGACATTTGAAAAACTAATCTGTATAATTCACCATAGTAACAGACCAAAAAAAGAAAAATCAGGCCAGGCACAGTGGCTCTTGCCTGGAATCCCAGGCATGGTGGTCAGTTTTTGTTGTTGTTGTTGTTGTTGTTGTTGCTATGTTTTGAACTTTAGCCATCCTAATAGGTTTTAATCTGCATTTCACTAATGACACTGGAGGTTGAACATCTTTACGTATGGTTATTTGTCACTTATATATTTTCTTTTAAGTGTTCATTCACATCAATATTTTTTGTTCATTTCAATATCTTTTAAGATCTTTTTTCCATTTTTCTGTTTTTTTTAATTATTAAGTTTTGAGAGATCTTTTTATATTCTGGATATGAACTCAAACTGACCACTTTAGGAGTCTAAAGTGGGACAGTCGCTTGAGCCCAGGAGTTTGAGACCAACCTGGGCAACATAGTGAGACTCTGCCTCTACAAAGAAATTTTAAAATTATCCAGATGTGGTGGTGGGTACCTGTAGTCTTAGCTACTCAAGAGGCTGAGGCATGAGGATCACTTGAGCCCACAAATTGACGGAGCTATGATTGTGCCACTGCACTCTAGTCTGAGAGGGAGTGAGGGAAAAAGAAGGAAAATCATATGATCATCTCAATAGATAGAGAAAAGGCATTTGACAAAATCCAATACTGATTCTTGATTTTAAAAATTCTCAGCCAGGCACAGTGGCTTATGCCTGTAGTCCCAGCACCTTGGGAGGCTGAGGCAGGCGGATAGCTTGAGGTCAGGAGTTCGAGACCAGCCTGACCAAAATGGTGAAACCCCATCTCTACTAAAAATACAAAAATTAGCCAGGTGTGGTGGCACAGGCCTGTAATCCCAGCTACTCAGGAGGCTGAGACAGGAGAATTGCTTGAACCTGGGAGGCAGAGGTTGCAGTCAGCCGAGATTGTGCCACTGCACTCCAGCCTGGGAGACAGAGCAAGACTCTGTCTCAAAAAAAAAAAAACCTCAGCAAAAGAGAATAGAACTTTTTTTTTTTTCGATGGGGTCTAGCTCAGGATAGTCTCCATAGTCTCCATCTCCTGACCTTGTGATCCACCCACCTCGGCCTCCCGAACTGCTGGGATTATAGACATGAGCCACCATGCCTGGTCAAGAGAACTTCTTAAATCTACTAATGGACATCTATGACAAGCCTACATATAAGATTAAATTCATGGGGAAAAACTGAAAGCATGTCCCCTAAGGAAAATAGCAAGGTTGTCTACTCTTACTGCTTCTATTTAGCATTGTACTGGGGTTTGAACAAGTGTAATAAGGTAAGAAAAAGCAATAAAGGCATCCATTGGAAAAGGAGTAGTAAAATTTGTAGATAATGTGATCATCTGTGCTGAAAATCCAATGAAATCTACAAAAAAAGATGCTAAAACTAATAAGTGAGTGTAGTAAATTTGTAAAATATTAGACTAATTAAAAATAACCAGTTATATTTCTATATACTAGCAACAATCAGAATTTTAAATTTTTATTTATTTATTTATTTATTTATTTATTTATTTTTTTTTTTTTTTTTTTGAGACAAAGTTTCACTCATGTTACCCAGGCTGGAGTGCAATGGCGCGATCTCGGCTCACCGCAACCTCCGCCTCCTAGGTTCAGGCAATTCTCCTGCCTCAGCCTCCTGAGTAGCTGGGATTACAGGCACGCACCACCATGCCCAGCTAATTTTTTGTATTTTTTTTTAGTAGAGACGGGGTTTCACCATGTTGACCAGGATGGTCTCGATCTCTTGACCTCGTGATCCACCCGCCTCGGCCTCCCAAAGTGCTGGGATTACAGGCTTGAGCCACCGCGCCCGGCCCAGAATTTTAAATTTTTAAATGCCATTTATGATATCATCAAAAATATGAAATACCGCCAATATGGCAAAACCTCATCTCTACTAAAAATACAAGGAGTAGCTGGACTTGGTACATGCCTGTGATCCCAACTACTTGGGATCTTTGGGAGAATCACTTGAACCCAGGAGGCGGAGGTTTCAGTGAGCTGAGATCATGCTACTGCACCCCAGCCTGGGCAACAGAGTGAGACTCAGTCTCAAAATATATATATATATGAAATACTTATTGATGTATCTGACTAAAGGTGTGCAAAAACTGTATACTGAAGGAAAACTGTGAGAAATCAGATGAATTAATTGCTTTAGTTTTCCAGGGCTTAACATCTTGACCAATGCCAAAAAAAAAAAAAAAAGAAGAATAAAAGTAAATAAAAAGAAAAAGAAATCAGAGACCTAAATTAATGGAGAGATATACCATGTTAATGAATAGGATGACTCAATATACTTAAGATGCCATTTCTCACCAAATTGATCCCGTTGATTCAAAGAAACCATAATCAAAATCCCAGCAGGAGTATTTGTAGATATTGACAAGATTATTCTGAAATTTCTATAGAACCACAAAGGACGTACAGCATCCAAAATAACTTTGAAAAAAAGAACAAAGTTAGAGAACTTATTCTGCCTGACTTCAAGACTTATGAAGCTATAGTAACCAGGATAGTCTAATAAAATAGACAACAGTTAAATAAATCAGTGGAATGGAATAAAGTCCTGAAATAGATCCATGCATAGACAGGCAATTAATTTTCTACATATGTGCAGACAGTTCCATGGTTTTCCACAAACATGCAAAGATAATGCAGCGAGAAAATGACAGCCTTTGCAACAAATGGTCCTGTAACAGTCAAATATTCATATATTCTGAAAGCAAACTTTGAACCATATCTCACACCATATGTAAAAATTAACTCAAAGTGGATCATAGAGCTGAATATAAAACGTAAAACTATAGAAGCCCTAGAAGAAAACATAGGAGAAACTGTGACCTTGGTTCAGGCAAAGAGCAGTCTACATTTTTAAAAATTATAATTTAGACTTCATCAAAATTGGGAACTTCTGTTCTTCAAGAGATACTCTTAGGAGAAAGAAAGGCCAAGTGACAGGCTGGGAAATGTTATTTTCAAATCACAAATCTGATAAAGGGCCTGTATCCAGAATGCTAAAAGAACTCTCAAAACTCAATAAGAAGAAAGCACTCCCAAAAATGGAAAAAAGATTTTCAAAATATACTGAAATGAACAAAAAAATACTGACATGAACAGACACTTAAAATGTATGTGACAAGCACATGTAAATATGCTCAGCCTCTTTTAGTCATTAGGGAAATACAGGTTAACACTATAATGAAATACCACTGCACGCCTATTAGGATGGTTAAAGTTTAAAAAAAAATAACAAAAAGTGATCATGTCATGTGTTAGGAAGTATATGCAGAATCTGAGTCTCTTCACACTGCTGGTAGAAATGTAAAATGATGCAACCACTTAAAAAGTTTAATATGTATTACCTAGGCACCCCACTTTGAGATATTTATTCAAGATCATTGGAAGCATATGCCCATAGAAAGACTTCTACTACACTAATGTTCATAGCAGCATTATTTCTAATAATTCAAATTGGAAGCAAGCCCAATGTCCCTAACTGATAAATGAATAGACATTGTATGGCATATGCATAGAATACTACACAGCAAAAAAAAAAAAAAAAATCAGGAACAGATTATTGATACATGCAGCAAGGTGCCAGACAAATAAAAGAGCATATCCTAGGTGATTCCATTTAGATAAAATTCTTTATGGTGCAAATTGATGTAAGGTGTCAGAAAACAGATCAGTCGTGTCAGGGTAGGGGTTAGGAGCCTAAAGGTGCAAGGGCACAAGGCAACTTTGTGATCGATCAAGATATGTTTACTTTCTCCATTGTGATGATGATTTGCACAGATGTATACGTATGTCAAACTTATCAAATTATATCCTTTAAATGCATAATTAATTGCATATCAATTACGCAGGAAAGATGGGGACAGGAAGCTACTTACTTACATGTTTCTTATAGTCTCAGCTACTCGGGAGGCTGAGGCAGGAGGATCACTTGAGTCCCGGAGTTCAAAGCTGCAGTGCACTATGATAGCACCTGTGAATAGCCACTGTACCCCAGCCTGGATAACATAGCCAAACCCCGTCTCTATTAAAAAAAAATTAAAATAAAATGTATATCGTTAGGGTTATTAATTAGATGAATTCTGGGGTCTCGCTCTGTTGCCCAGGCTGGAGTGCATTGGCATATCTCAGCTCACTGCAACCTCCACCTCCTGGCTCAAGTGTTCCTCCCACTTCAGCTTCCCAAGAAGCTGGAACCACAGGCATATACCACCGCGCCTGACTAATTTGTATTTTTGGTACAGACAGCACTTTGCCATGTTGCCCAGGCTGGTCTTGAACTCCTGAGCTCAAGCAATCTGCCCTCCTTACCCTCCCAAAGTGCTAGGATTATAGGCATGAACCACCGTGTCTAGATTAAGCAGCTATTTTTTAAAATGAAGTCGGGCGCAGTGGCTCACACCAGTAATCCCAGCATTTTGGGAGACCAAGGAAGGAGGATCACCTGAGTTCAGGAGTTTGAGACCAGCCTGTCCAACATGGTGAAATCCCCACTCTATTAAAAATACAAAAGTTAGCTGGGCATGGTAGTGGGCACTTGTAATCCCAGCTCCTTAGGAGTCTGAAGCAGGAGAATCGCTTGAACCTAAGAGCAGAGGTTGCAGTGAGCCAAGATCGTGCCATTGTACTCCAGCATGGGCAACAAGAGTGAAACTTCGTCTCAAAAAATTAAATAAATTTAAAAAAATGAAGTCAACCTATATTTGTCAATAGGAAATGACCCCCCAAATAAATTATTAGATGGAAAAATGCAAGGTACAAAACAATATATATTAACATATCCCTTTTTGAGTAAAAATAGGCATTATATATGTGTGTGTTTTTGTAGATATGCATGTATGTGTCTGTTTATATATGTACATAGTTTGTGTATATACATACATCGTGTGTGTGTGAGGGATTTCTTGAGCATATACAAAAGCTTACAGTAGTGGTTTCTGAGAATTGGGCTTGTGGGCTTGTGGAAAAGAGAGAGAGGACTTCTGATTTTACTCACTTTTGTTGAATCTTTTTAAAAACCATATATATGCATTTTTAAAATAATTTTAAAAAGAAGATAGGTTAAAAAGTTAGAGAGGGCAGGCTGAGCATGGTGGCTCACACCTGTATTCCTAGCACTTTGGGATGCGAAAACAGACAGATCACCTGAGGTCAGGAGTTCCAGACCAGCCTGGGCAACATGGTAAAACCCTGTCTCTACTAAAAATACAAAAAAATTAGCCAGCGTGGTGGCAAGCACTTTTAATCCCAGCTATTCAGGAGGCTGAGGCAGGAGAATCACATGAACCTGGGAGGCGGAGGTTGCAGTGAGCTGAAATCACAGCACTGCACTCCAGTCTGGGTGATATAGCAAGACTGCATCTCAAAAAAAAAAAAAAAAGATAGAAACCAAAATTGGGAAGTATCAATTGAAAT